CCCTCCCCCTGTAATTTTGAAATAACATGAAAAAACTGGTTTTGCTTTTGGCTCTATATTTTGATTTATTTTACTCGTCCTGTGCGAAATGCACAAAGAACACTCTACTTGGTTTTTTTAGAACTGGTTTCATAACATTGGGTATCGCTTACAGCAGGGGTTTTCAACCTTTTTGGATCAGTGTACCCCTGGAGGGCAGATGCTGATGGGGGTGGTGGTGCACAGCCAGACACTGAGCGGGGTGGGGAGGGAAGGGTGTCACATAGCCGGATGCAGAGCAGCGGCAGCTGCCGCATGTGAGCTTCCCCTGTGTCTGGCCGGGTGGCTGGCACCTATGTGGCAGCACAGGATGGTTTGTGGTGGCACTCCATCCCTGCCCACCGGCATGTACCCCCTAGGTCCTTCTTGGGTACCCCCAGTTGACAACCCCTGGCTTAGAGAATAGATGGCTGGGTTGAAGGTATGAAGTCTCTGGAGAGATTGTAAGGGAAGAAATTTGTACTACATGGTAATGTACATGAAAAATGGCCATAACTTTTAAAACTGTTTTCAAATGTCTTTGAAAATGAGCAGATGACCTCAAAATGGATTCCTGGGTCATTTTTAGGAGCATAACAAAGGAGTGATGAGGGACACATCCCTCCCAGTTAAAGTAAGATAAGGAGGAGGAGATAGGAAGAACTGTAGCTCTGTTTATGGTAGGTAAGGCACAGGTGGGATCCAGTGCTCTGTGGTGGCATTTACCTGCCTTCTCCAAACTTTTTCATCTTATGTTCACAACACACTTTTCCAAATTTTGCAAAAAATGAGTTGGGGGTTGTACAGATAACAGCCTTATTTATTACACAACTCTGCTTCCTTTAACGAGCTCTGTCTGTGGACTGAATGAGACCAAATACTGCAGGAAAGGAGCATGTAAACACTATTGGATTGTGTTGTAATTCATATATCTGGGGGACAGCAACTCTTAGCAACCTTTTAATCATGACATTTTAGAAGCTTTGAGGGCTCTTTTGCCCATTGGAGAACACAGGTGAACCGCACTGACTCCCTACCTGGGAGGAATCATCAGGCTGGAATGTTTAGATCTATAGATCAGACTTTTATTGTCTGAACAGAAAGAATTACTTGTATCTATAGGAGTCTGTTATGTTCTATGTGATCAGTCACTAGAGAAGGATGAGGTTCACTCTTTCACAGTTTACTTCATTCCTGGGAAGACAAATGCTGTGACCTTTGGTTAGCTTTATACTAGTTAACAGAGCAGAACCGAGAAACTGTCAGTTGCCTACTTGTACTCCAGGGTTAGGTTCTCCTTTGGTTATCATCAGGTCTCTGACTGCCCCCCTTGAGTCCCATGTTCCTCTATGGTTGTGTTGCTGTTTAAGGAGTCCCACACTGTTCAAATTATTTCCATCTGGTCATCATCCATTTACAGACTGCATCTTGTATAACTATCTCTTTTCATAATTTGTGTTATAGGACTTTTCTAATATTCTTCTGATGCATTTATCATACATAATCACTAGGAACAACTTAGCTGATTTCTGAACTGGAAATGGTATATCTGTGTTCACTGTCTTTCAGCAGTGCTAATTAATCTGCCAACCATGTTATGCAAACAAAACAATGTTGGTTCTGGTTTAGGAAGTAATCTGCATGGAAGAGTGCATCATATCTGAGGGTGCCACTGCTTAGCATGGTAAACTTGCATAATAAGGTAGATATGCTTTTTAATTCTGTCCTCCTGCCCAAGCCTTCTGTAACCCAAAAAGGGGAAGTAAACTGATGGTGGGGTGAGTAAGAGCATCTGTCAACTTTCTAAGATTTGATATTAGCTAATATCCATTCAGTGAATAACATGCATGCAATTTTGTATGAAGAGCAACAACTGTATAGGTGATTTACTGGGCTTTCACTGGGGAGTTTGCTGGCATGTTGGTCTCTTCTTTTGGCTTTTTCCAAAGACTTAAATCCAAACGTCCTCTATTGCATGGGTGTCAAAATTATCTGGCCCTGGGGGCTGAATGAGTGATGCAGGGCTGGTCCACAGGCTAGATTAAACTCAGCACTGCATGCCAGATCCAGCATGTGTCTTGGAGTGGGTGCTACGTACAATATGGTCCTGCTCCAACTTCTCTGGGGCTCTGCTGCACGCAGCAGCCACTTTGTGGCTGTGGCTACCATGTGCTACTCTGGGACACATGATGGAGTGGGTACTACATGCAGCACGGTCCAGAGTGGCTGGAGTTGATGCTGTACAGGGCGATCCAGTATGTCCTGTATGCTGCCAGTCAGTCACCTCTGAGACCCACAGGTAACACTGGAGGCCTGATGATAAGACTCTGGTGGGCTGGATCTTTAACACCCTTGTTTTATTGCCAGATCGTTGATTATGTAACACATCTAATTAGATAAAGTACATAGTAGCTTTTCCAAAGACAGTGTTTAAAGGATTGCTTCCACTGTTTTGATTCAACTGATTAAAACAGTAAAGGTAATTCTGAGAAAAGAGGGGTCCATTTAATTTAAAACATCTCTCTCTTAGTCATGCAAGAATGGCTAAGGCTGGGCCCATAGCTTAGATTTCATAGATGTTTAGGGTTGGAACGGACCTTGGTAGATCATCAAGTCCGACCCCCTGCCCTGGGCAGGAAA